TGCCTGGTAGAGGCTTAGAAAACAGAACGATGCATTCGATCGTTCTAAAGTTAGTCCATTTCAATGATAAGCACGAGACGTATAAATACAGGAGAACTGCGAAAATCCGATCAACCCAAAATTGATTTGGGTAAAAGAACGTTTGCTTCCGCTCGATGCTTATTATATACGACTGGCTGAAAGTAAGAATTTCATCACTTCGACTTGGGTTTTCTAAGTTTCCGCTTTATGCCCATCGACGTCGGGAACGTCGTATCATGCTAAAGTTAACACTGAAGAAGATTTAGGAATTCTCAAGATCTCAATCATTCTAGAGCAACAACAATAGTCTAGAGTTGAAAAATCTAGACCGCCGATCAAACCAAGTTTTAAAAGAAAAAAAAGACGACTTCTAGATGATGACCAAGAAATGATGAGGTTATATGCGTCGCTATCTCCAGAGCAGGACAAGCCGTTTTTGAAAAAAGCGGAGAAAAACAAAGAATGAAATTTTTGAAAGAAATAGTTCCCGAAATGAACTCGAAATATTTTGTTTGTTAATCAGCAGCTTCTTCTTCTAAGAAGATAAACTAGAAACGAAATTTCCGCAAGGAAGGTTGAACTCAGTTGAGATTCTAACTGGTTAGATACTTGATAGTTGATTTGGTATATATGCGATCAGAGCAAAGATAAAACATGGTTGTTGTTTTTTTTTCGTTTTTGTGAAACAAAAATTTTTTTAAGTTACTAGTTCTACAAAATTTCTTCACGCAAAGGAAAAAAAGAAGGAAAAAAACTGATCAAAAAGAAAAAAGTTGATGGAATAGTGTTTTTTTTTTTCGTTTTATTTTACTTTGTTCTTTTCTCTCGACATTTGAGTGCTGCGACTCCTGCGGCAGCAAATTGTAGATTTTCACTCAGTGGTACTATTTTTGTGATGGAATACAGCGACTTTTGCAGTTACTATCCTGCAAGTGAGTATAAGTTTGAAGCCTTAACTGCGACTTACGAGATATTGCTTCAGGCAGACATCAGAAGATATGTGTGTAAGTTTCAAAATGTGTGTATGAGTTCATCTCAATAAGTTGTACTGGGACTTCTGCGGAACTACAATTTCGTCGTCTCTAATTCTAAATAATGGAGAATAAAAGAAAAAAAGGAAAGAAAGGAAAAAATAAATCAAGAATCATAAAACAGAAACTAAATGTGGGGACACACTGGAACGATTAATTTTTTATAAAACAAATACATGTCTCGGCTCTTACTTCTACAAAATATTAGATCACTACATAAAAATTTTAGTAGTTTTGAGGTTTTCTTTCAGAACTGGAAAGCAAACCACTCGCGATAGCATTAACAGAAACATGGTGCAAAGAAAGATACAAACAAAAATGCGGTAGTTCTAAATGAATAACAAAAATTGTTGCATGCAATAGAGCAAAAAGAGGTGGTGGCGTAGATATATATTTATATATATATATATATATATATATATATATATATATATATATATATATATATATAAATACATATCTCAAAAAACAACCTGAATATCAAACCATAAAGAAGACTTTGCGGAGATATAAATAAAAATATGATTGAAGACAACAAAAGTACAAGATTAGGACTTCTAAACACACTTTTAATTCAAGGATTGCAGCCAAGAATAACAAGCAACTCAACTACAGAAAAAGCTTAATCATAGACGTGGATCAATATTTTTTACGAAGTTTTCAAGCTCAGCTGAAACCAATGGTTACCGCAATATCAGATCAATATCGTATCATTTAGTATACTTAAAAACTTTGAGGCTTTGAGTGAAAAGAACGAAAATGCTTTTCCATGCTAAAGAAATTGAACAGACCCTTCAAGAGGCTTCAATCGAAAGAAAAACAACTAGACCTCAATTATTTGATATACAAAGAGTAAAATTTCAATGAAAATTCTAAGCTAAATTAAACGAAAAAATTGAAAAAAGTCTTAGTTAAATTAAATCATACTAGAAAAAGAAATTATTTTTCGACCTAAATACAAGAATTTGGTGAACAATCGGTTGAAAAACTTAACAGTAACGAAAAATCTCAGGGAGCCTGGGAAACAATTAAAAACTATAGAAATAAAGCAAAAGTGTTAATCAAGTCCATTAAAACCACTTGCTACGAAATCAAAATAGATAAATCGAAGGGCAGTTCAAAAATTTTTTTTTTCAAGCTTTGAACGTTTCCCGAGTATTACCGCTCTTCAAAAATGGAAAGATAACTGTAGAAACTACAGACCAGTTTCTCTTTTTCATTTTAATCAGTAGAGTGCTGGAAAAAATAATCTGTAGCAGAAAGATAAATTTTATGATATCGCAAATAAAATTCGACGCCAAATCAATTCGGATATCTAAAAAATCGTGAAAAGATGCAGTTTTGGATGTTATAGATAACATTTAAAAAAATTTATCAGCTAAAGATTGTGTCGCATGTACCATGATGATGTCGCATTGATTTGTCCAGAGATTTGATGCCGTTGATCATTCTATTCTTCTTGGATAATGTTATCGATAAGGCTTTAGATACTCAATTCATGGACTTCTGAAGTTATACCTTGAAAGCAGATACCAATATTTTGCTATTGAAAAACAGAAACATTCGATAGAGTGTGGGCTGCCCCAAGGTTGGGTGCGTGGTCCCTTACTGTTTCTGCTTTGTGTGAACGATCTGTTTGAAAATGACACAAGATTGTTTGGAACATTGTAAAAGATGAAGGCAACAATGTGCGACGAATTGCAGCGCATTTCGTTATGGTTGGAGAGCAATACGCTTACAATGAATCTAAAAATAAAATTCTCCACTTCAAGCCAAAACTAAACAGCAAACTCAATTTGAAGAACAAAGTATCAGAACTAAAAAAAAAGAAATAAAATATCTAGCGTTTTGTAACACAACATTCTCAAATACAAACAACATATAATATAAATCACATGGCACATCGATTGTCATCACAACTCAAATTTGATCACTAAAAACGGTTAGTGGGTCAGAAAACTCTTGTAAAAATATATATGAGACTTACAGTCAACCAGTGTTACAATATGGTGCGGTGTTATATAGTCTGGCAAATAAAACTGCTTTAAATAATGTTGACTTAGCGCAGAACAGAACTTTACGTATTCTTTTTAACCTAAAAAAAACTGACATGCTAAGAATAGTGAAAAACAAAAACAAATTATTTTTTTTTAGAGATCTTCACATATATGAACTAATAAAAACACTAGCAAAAATATTGAGAAAACATTACACTTCGACTGCATTAACGACTGTATACATGTGGGTGAGCTTGAGCTCTGATTTTTTGAAGTTATTAGTATCAGAGGACAAACCTCGAAGAAAAAATCCGACACCTATTACAACAGAACAGTTAGCTTCAGGTTCAGAAAATTTTCTCATTTTTTCACAAAATGTGAAAATTAATTTTTAATGGACGAAAAGACAACCAACCAGAAAATTCTGAAAAAATGTTGCATAAACTTCGAGATCTTTTCATAATAGATAACAAAGAGTTTTTGGAATTACTCAACAAGACTGTTCGTATCAAGTTTTCTGCATTTTGTGGAAATCATCACCCCACATGCTTTGCTAAGTACAAAGTGACAAATTTAGCATGTTATAAGCTCTTAAATGGACCAAACAGCTGCAATTTACCAAACAGTCGCGATTATAAGGCAATCTAAATTTCCGGTTATGTCATGAATAATAGCAATCAAATTATAAATGGACAATTAAACTTTAATCAAAAATTGTATATTTGACAAGTTAGAACAACAAAAATTGTGTTAATCTGTAAACTTGTTGAAAATGGCTGAATTCTCGCGATTTAGAAAAGAACATCAAGAAACCATTTTAGATTTAAAAAATTTCAAGAATGATTCAGATCAGAAAATTTTCATACTTTTATAGATCAGAAAATTTTCTTACTTTTTAACAAAATGTGATAAATATATATTAGTGGACAAAAACTAAACAAAAAACTCAATTTTTAGTTTAGTTCGAAAAAATTTTTAGACGTTTTTTTAAATTTTGATTTCTGTGCCCTTCCTAAAAATTGTCGAGCTTTATAAAAGCCCACTTTTATATATTTAAGTCAGCAATTGAAGCAGTCTTATGTCATGACTTTTGGTTGAGTAAAAAAGCAAAAAAAATTGTCCGTTTTAGGGTAAAATTCAATGCCCGAAACTCGCTCTAACAAATTGCATCATAATATAATGCCAAAACTGCAATCAACTTTTGTGTCCATCACTTTTTGTTTATTCCTCCCTTAAAATTCTGAGCAATACAAATGGGGAAGAATTTTGTCTTTGGGTGTATTTTAATTTTTTTTCCTCGCATAGTCAGGTTCCACAAATAATCGTAGAATTGTGCCGGCTGATACGTCAAATCAAGCGTGATTCGAACACAATTTGTCCCTGTGTTGAGAAAAATGCTGTGTAGTAAAATTTTGTTTAGCAAAGTGATGGAATAACCTTCATTAAATATAAGTTGGTCAATTAGTTTTAATTCTACAAATATTTGAATTAACTGAATAAAAAATTTTTAAGAGCTTTCATTGCTTCAATTATAACGCTAGAGCAGCATCCGTGTTCAAAAAATATCGAAAAAACTTATGTTTTGTTTGTTTTTTGATTTTCGAATATACTTGTGCAGTTTTTTTATCACACCATGCACAAAAAACGACAACAATTTGAAAGAAAAACGGGGAAAATGTTTTGTTGTCTTAGGATTCAGTTCAAAATACTCTTTACTACTTGCACAGCAACCAGGTATCTTTGTTACTGTTGTATATTTTTCCATTATCACACTAGCGTAATTAAGCGTAGTGTATTAGCACGACTATTTGTTTTTTCCAACCTAAATTGCAAAAATTACAGCTTTTCGAACGCATGTGCTTTGACATTCGATTAGTTATAAGTTAATACAAGTGATGCATTTTTGTTTCATCAAATGAATCTGAAAAAGCTGTTTGTTTCAAGCAACGGTACAAAAACAAAACTCGATTGCAGAAAATTTTAACCTCAAAATATCTCACGCAAGGTTTTGAAAAGCAAGTTCTATAAATAAATTAGCTTAACGTTTCTAACATTATGACTATTTGTGTTTGGTGCCACTTTTGGCGCATCGCACTGGCAGTTTGTTAGCATTTGTGGCTGCTTTATTTGTGACTAATGTTAGCAAAATGGCAAGGTTTTCGCCGCAGATGAGAGAACTGGGGGCTCTAAATCTCCTGGTTGTTAGAGCAAATTCGTCACAGCACAAGTTTTATCTTTGAAGGCTTGTCTTACCTGTTGCATTTCACTTTATGCAGCTGCCTTTTATAGTTTTATGGCTGATGTTTGCGAAGCATAATTGTGACGGTAATGTTATGGACCATAATCGTGACCAAAATGGGAACTGAATTACTAGCGTTTTGCCGTAAATGAGATTTCAATGATTAACAATCAGCTCTTTTTAAGTAATTCCACCCTATAGTGCCCACTAAAAAGCTCCCATTCCCAAGTTACCAAGACAATCACAGCTTACCCTTTTTTCAACATTATACCTTGCTTTTTATAATTTATAGAGTCAACAGAATCAGTGTAGTTAATCGATTTTTAATAAGATCCTAACATTTTATTTTAACATTTTTTGTATTTTTTTGAAAAGGAGCTTTGGTCTGTTGCAGGCAAAAAGGACACCAAGATGGGGGTGTACACGAAGTGGCGGGACTTCTACAAGGCGCCAGTTACCACCTTCATCTTACACTTCGCAGCCAATCTAGTCTTCATTGGACTATTCTCTTACATGGTATCACTCATATCTTTCATTAACGTCACACGTGAAACATTTTGTATGAAGTTTTTAACCCTAATACTTTTTAATTTGAAAGCCAAAATTTTGTCCAATTTTTACAAATCTGTAAGTTTGAACAGATAAATCAATTACTTGTGATTTTTTCTTTTTTTTGAGGCCTACAAAGTAGCTTTTATTTATTTGACGATTCTGAAGTATGATCCCTTTGCCTATATCTTAATTTAGGCTAGAATGATTTTTTGATACATGAATTTTTCTTCTTAGGTTCTTCAGAAGATTGAGTCGACGCCCACGATTGTTGAGCGTATTGTGATTGGCTGGAGTCTCATTCTCAACTTTCAGATCATCAAAGACTATCTGTCCATGTCCGACTCCAACCTCCTCCGAAAGGCATCCTCACTCGATAAGGTAAAGCACCCTGTAAATACCTCTTTTTTGCAACCCCCCTCCCTCCACACACACCCCTCACTCGAAAAGCTGCATTGGAACCCCCCTTTTTGACCCCTTCCACATATAAACATCAGCCATACTCAGTAGTTTTTACAAGTTAACGCCTTAAGACCAAATGTGTTTTGGAAATTCATTGAAATTTGTGCAAAACTTCATCACAATTGCAGCACGCGATATTTTTTGTTAGATCAACTTAAGTAGATTTGAAATCGATTTACATCAATATTTTTCATATAATAATTCATATAATATTCAATATTTTTTATGTAATATTTCGACAAAAACTGCGAATTATATGAATAAAAATAAGTATTCAAATAATTCTTTTTTCGTTAACTCAATCAAATTTTCAACAATCTTTTGCAGTGCGGTTGAAAAGTGAACAAAAAAAACGTGATTTTTAGGGCGGGTACGATTGCAGCGAGCCAAAAGTTTTCTTATGTTTGCACTTTTGTTTACCACAAAACTATTCAATAATCGGAACAAATGAAGAAAAACGGATGGCTGGTTTGTGTTTTAACGTTTGACATGATGTGAACATATGGTCTTCCAATACACAATCTGCTGGCTACGCAAGATTTTTCAGTGCGAAATTTGACGAGAAATTTTATAGCGGCAACAAATACTAGACCCCACCGACGACAAAATAACCTTGCTAAGTAGAACCCTTCCGGAAAAAGCAATAATGAAGCTTCAAAAGGGGATAATATGGAAAGAATTTGTGGGTAATCTATGAAACTTGGTAGTTAGGACCCCCATGAGACACGAAACTTGTCAAAGACAGTTTGAACCTGGTGACCACTGGGTGACCTTAAGTTGACTTTTGGGCGCCATGACCCCACAACTGCATAGAAAACCCCAAATTAACACAGGCAAGTGGCTTCTTCTCTAGCGCCAACCCTCCGGAAAAATTATTTGGTCACCTTAAGAATAATTGCGAGGAAACATGTTTTTTGGGAATTGAAACAGAAGCTGAGAACAATATAGGTTGTCATTGCATGCAACCTTGAAGTAGTAGATGCTTAATGAACATTGCTTGCAACCTTGTTCAGCTAGCTCGACCCTTATTTGACCCTAATTTGACCCTTAATAGACGAACAACGTTCCCCTGATAGCTAGATTTTAGATGCTTGGAATGAATTTGCTACCCATGGAAATGATTTCTACTTACCCCCGTGAAGTCGGTACGTTAACGGGATAAAAAATCAAAGGCCGTCGGAGGGTCACTGAGTAAACCTAGTATGGTTTAGAGGCTGAATTGAACTCGACGGCTAGAGTTCATGGAGTTCAAGAATTAGTTAATTGGGATCGTATCACATCTGTTTGTTGGGTCGAATTGCGACACCTACCGCATGCTGGGTATCTAATAAGCTTGAAAATATTGATACAAGAAACCCAATTTGGTACGTGACAGTGTTGATTGGGGAGAGACGTAGTCATAAAACATGTGCAAACGGGTGAATTAGGCGGATGCCCGGACTAATAATAAATAATGTGACTAAAACTGAGTGTAAAAAATGATAAGAAACTGGAGTGTACCGACGAGCCTTAGGGAGATAGAACAATTACGCTAAGAGTGCGAACAGTTGGTTCTCAGTTAAAGAGAGAACGATTTAGCAAGCCGAGATAAATTGTTGGTCCTTGAAGGACGCTTTTGCTTGAAATGAGGCTAAGTATGTCTCACAGTTGTTAGTTAAATAGTCCACAATTTGCTGACCTAGCTAGAAACGCAAGAGGAGAGCCGAAAAGAGTATAAATCCATGAAAACGTTGCGTAACCCTTTGATCGGCCGATTTAGTCTGACCACCACCATAGCCCTTTCGGGATTGTGGATAATATCGTGTCTTAGTGTCCACCGCTTTTACACAGTTTAAAGAGGACAATCCTTGTGACCGTTGAGTAAAGTGGAAGCGTGCTTGAATGAGACGACTCCACGATTTTTCCACAATTCCCATCCATGCAAGAAAACAGAGACTACAGCTCGTCCCGACTATAAGTTTTCCTCCAAAAATTCGGAATACGATCAGTTCTATCAATACTCTACTTTTTTCGGCCACCATGAAATATTACAAAACATAATTGGAAACCAGAAAACGGAAATAGGTCCAGTTACATGAAGGCTGAAAAGCAACAAACGACTATAACTGAAACCAGAGCTTCTTGTTACCAGCTCGAATCATATGACGAAGACAAACAATACTTCGAGAGACCCTTCGAATTATCAGCATAAAAAAGCAATCATTGAAAAAATACCTGGTTCATCTAGAAGAGAAAACACAGCAAGCAATAAACCCCTCAAGCAACAACAACATTAGGACTAATTCCTTCTAAATGAGCTAGAGTAAAAAATGCACAGAAAATGTACATTACATTAAATGCCACGACAATGAAATTCAAAATGATAAACCGAACGAAATCAAAAAATGAATTCCAGCAATCTTCTCAAAACCAATCATAAGCCTATTACAGAAAATAGGAAACCCAAAGCGTGTACTAACAGAAACAGATGACATTATGGCCGAGATAATAACTTGAAAGCAAGTTAATATCCGCTCCTCCAAATCATTTTTTTGGGTGGGGGGAGAAAAGGATACTTATTGATTTTAAGTCTTTTAAGGAGTGTTCCGCTCAATCAGAATTGACACGTTTTAGCTGGGAAGTGATTGACAAATCATTTAACTTCCCTGTGTAGGTTGACACCTGGTCCCGTGTGGACTTCGCCGTGCTGCTTCTGTTCCTCTGTGGGGTGATAGTGAGGAGTGTGGGCTATGACAGTAAGGATGCCCTGGATGTGACTCACTTACTTTATGTGTTTTCACTCATGTGCTACATCGTCAAAGTACTCGCATACATGGCACTCAGCGACAGGCTAGGTATCAAGTTCAATCAAACTAACATCTTCGTCAAGAATCTAATCTACTAGAGGCTCCCAAAACCAACAAAAAGGTTGATTGAGCTCAAGAATATTTTTTTTGCTGGAAATATATTCAATCAATCAGATTTGAGCATTATGATCATATTTTCAAAACAATTTGGAAACAAAAAACAAGGCAAAAGACGGGCATCTTACGTGCTGGAAGGTTTGAATTTAAAATGGCTATTTTTGGGGGCGGGCACCCTACTCAAATTTAGGGGGAGGATGTTAAGTCAGTCAGAAACGAGTATTTTACTTGCAGAGCTTAGGAAATTAAATGCTGGCGTAGATGATCTTAACTTGGCCAAAACTGTTATATGGCTCTCAGACTCCTGTAATACTTCCAGGTCCACTGGTGGAGATGTGCTTCAAGATGCTGAACGACATCGTCATCTTCATGTCGATACTGTCCTTCGTCATAGTGGCCTATGGAATTGCGGTCCAGGCACTCATGTACCCAGGACAGAACAAGCCCCTGTTCGGAATAGTGTGGGGCATCGTGATCAGTCCATTCTTTGAGATGGTCGGTAACCTGGACTTTCAGAGTATAGGCGCATCAACCACCGCCAAATGCGACAGTGAGTCAATTAAAAATTATCACATCGAAAACGCATATGCCTCTTTATTTTAGCATACACCCCTTCAAACTCTGCTATATGGTTGAGGTGCGCGGGGGGGGGGGGGGTGGTGGTTGGTGTACAGAAAAATTTTGACAATATGCGTGAGGTACTTCCGCAAACTCCGAGAAGATAAGTATTCCCGAAATCATTATTAAGTGACCCCACAGGGTCTTGAAAACATGAAACAGCGACCTCGCATCATAACATATCGATATTCGATATTAGGTATGGAAACATGGACAGATATGGATACTATCTCTGTCGTGTTTGAAATATGCCATTTCACGCTAAACATTGTTTGTGACTTCAAATTGTATTTAAATCATGCATTTCACACTTGCGGTGATAACTTTGTAGCAGATTGATGACCTTTTGAAGCGATTATAAAGCATTATGTGAAAGCATTTTCCACTCGCTACCCGCATCCAGTTTAAAGCGTGAATAATTGATTATATTACGATTTCAGTACCAGTCTCACTAAAATTGAGAAACATACGATTTTAATCAATTAATAATCGATTATAATCTCTCTTTTTAAAAGTAAATTATAATTAATTATAATCCAGTATAATCGATTATAATCGATTATATATTAGTCTATTTTTTGATGCAATTATGATTGATTATAATTGATTATAATCCATTCTTCTCATTCAAATTTCTATTTGTTTAGTTTTGCACAAAAATCCATTTTAATCGATCATAATTAATTATAATCCCTTTTGTTTGTCCATTTTTGTCTTCGAAGTGGCATCTAAATTGCTTATATTTTATGCTTTTTGGTGAACGTTGGTTCCTATGAAAAATGAGAAAAATATTTTAAAAGTTCTCCAATTAATTCAAATATAAAATTTTTTTTTTATTTCTTCCACATTAGAGTTGTTTTGTGATGCATATTTTAGGCTTTTTTAAACACCAAAATAACAGCCAATTTATATTGTTTTATGATTGATTCGGAAAATTTATTTTTCATCTACCGCGAGAACCTTTCCACTCAAATGAAAGGATCTCTATGAAACTTTTGTTTCGTGGTAAAACTGTGTTCAGATGAACCAAAGTGTTCAAGAGATCTCTCTCTTAGAGTTTTTCTTATTGACACAAAAATAATAACCCATATGATATAATTCGAATATAGGGAAATGTCGGCAAAATAAAAGATTATAATTGATTATAATCGATTATAATTGATTTTAAGGGTTTGTATTAAAAACTATAATCAATTATAATCGATTATAAGAGATTATAATCTCTTGGAATTCATCACGATTATATTCAATTATGAAGACCTAAATTTGGTAATTATAATCGATTATAATTGTCAAAAAACCATCATAATAATCCGTTATAATCGATTACTTACGCCTACACTTGAATGCGGGTATGACCTTCGACTAAAGTAACTTTTCTAATTTTAAATTTCGTGGTGTTATTTCATTTGTATATATTTTAGTCTATTGTGTATGAAGAACTATCTATTTATATATTAATCCACTCTAGACTCTTATCCTTAACGTGGAATTCTTTCGCCTTTTAATAAAGAACTCCGGGATTGAAGAACTCCGGGATTGACTTTATGCATTGATTTACTTAAATCAGTTTTTTTTGCTTAAATACCAAATAGTTGTAGTACATAACTTCTAGTAATTTACGATTTACATACTAGAGAACTCCGGGACTGAAGTCAACGTGAGTTTTCATTTTTTTTCCGAACCCACTGAAAGAGGTGGGTTTTCCAATTTGAATATCATGCGCAAATTCATCTTTTTGAATAGACCTGAATGAAGATGCAAACATCCTTTTTTTCTACCACATTTGTTTGAGATGGTTTAATAATTCAGAACATTTTAATGAAACAAGTGAATACCAGTCAGCTCTAAATATACAGAAAACGGCTAAGTTAGAAGCTATTTCTTGTCGTTTCACTGGGTGCCCATACCACTGATGTCGTCTCAGGATTTCAAGAAGAGGCTCCAAAGAAACGATAAAAATATGCAAACAGTGGAAAGCCTTGTCGTATACCCCTTAAATGACCAGGCTGTCCACTATTTGCCAGGTTTTTTATCGTTGCTTCGGAGACTCTTGAAATCTTGAGTCGATATCAGTGTTATGAACACCCAGTGAAACAACGAGTGACAGCTTTTGAAGCTGATGTTAATATCTTTGTAAACTGGCTGATGTAAGAGATTGATAATTTTTGACGAGGAACACAGTTGAAATAAATCGAGACAAAAGTAAGATTTCCTGCATTGATTCAAGGGCGGATCAAGGATTTTCTCGAGGGAGGGGCGGCTTTTCAAAAAAAAATCGAAATTTTTGTCGACCTTTTTTTTAGGTCGACCAAATTGATTTTTCGAGCTCTCCCAAACCACTAATAAGACCCGTGACTATACAGACAATTGACTGAAAACGCAAGTGGGGAATAATTGGTCAAAAAACGGGTAAGTTACAGAAAACGACAAGCATTTCAACGAAACACGTGAAAGCCAGTCAGCCCTACAAAAAACAGAAAATGCAAAAAATTAGAAAAAAAACAGCAAAATGAAAATATTGACATCAAAAATTTACTACTTAATGAGCCATTGCTCTGGTATAAAGCTACAATTGACAATATGGGCGGAAACACATGTGACACTCGGGTCATCAAGGAATCCAATCATTGGAAGGCCCACAAAAAAATGAAGATTTATACAGATTCTTCATTTCAACCTTTCACTTAATCAGCGTTAAGGCTCCAGAATTAAGCTGCTTCCAAATTTTCTATCCGGTTAATAGAAGTTGGAAAAATAACAAGTTGGCTTTGAAAATATGCTGATTTATTGGATTTCGAAAAAAAAACATGTATTACGATTACCAGATATAGATGTATGTGGAACCGGAGTCTGAGAAGCGGCCCATCCTAATTTCAATGGTTATGTGAGTTTGATACTATCTCTCAAATGTTTGGAAAATGCCGTTAAGTTTGCTTGTACCTTCTAAATTTGGGAACTTTCAGGTTCGAAGATTTTTAAAAACTTTTACCATGTCTTCAAGTGAAAAGAACATCGATTATTCTTCATAGGTCGATGAAACACTGCATTGCGTGGTTAGAAATTTCGGCTCGTACTGGCATGCTGATCTAAGTCATTCAATTTTGCGTATGTCACAAAGAATACTGTAATAATCATTTACACAATAAACACGCTTGGGTTTAAGGTGAGATTACTCTCTTTTTCCGAAACAACCGCTGAAATCAGTGAGTTTTACATGTGTACACATTGAGTTGAGGGGAAATAATTACGTGCAGATGGGAGCTTTTCATTAGAATTTATTGTTTGGCATTTGTTTTGTCAGTCAAACTGTATTTTTTTTAATGCGGTACCTGTTTGCACTGAATTGAGTAAAATCTAGTTTTTTCAAAATAGTTTTGCCAAAAAGCGCTCAAATCGAAGGGGTAAGCTTGCAAAAAATGCGTTCGGATTGTTTTTTCTCAGAAATCATTTGCAAAAATCACTGCCAACAGTTTTTCAAGGGTTGTTCGCAAATCGAGAAATTATTTCGCCTTTTACTAAAGAATGGTCGCTCACTCTATTGTTTTAACTTCTAGATGTTTGCTTCTTTCACTACTGTGGTGTAGGCAGATTAGTCATATCGAAAAAATCTTTTAAGTTTAGTATATTTGACGCGCGTTTTTATTCTTTGAGCAGCAATTTTAACGCATTAATTCAGCAATTTTTGCAGATTTTTTTCATTTTTTGCCTAC